CCTCTTTGTTGTTGTTGTTGTTGTTGTTGTTTCTCTTGTCATCTTCTCTTGCCGATGTATATATTTGACCTTGTTCTGTTATTTGTGAGGGTTTGGCTTGTTCAGAAATGGTGCTGTCAACGTTGATTGTGGGTGAGTGGGAACGGCTTCGCTTGTGTCGATAGAGACGCACAGTCATCAGTCAAAAATGGCCAAATTCCTGGAAAGACAGTTGCCTCTGAGTCTACAGGAAGCAGGTGATTCTGGCATTAAAAGAGGATGCCACTCCACCAAACCCCCCCCCAACTAAGCGGATGTATGGTTGTGTGAAAGGTCAGCGGCCAGAGAACAAGGTGACCCGGCAGTGTCAGGACACATGGCTTACCGGTCCAGCCACTCTCTGTTTATGTGTGTGTGTATTTGTGTAACGAAAGTGTGTGTTTGACTGAACAGGAAGTGAGGCAGACGGACATGTCTCTCACCCAGAACATCCTCCAGACTCTCTGTGTCCAGCCACCTCCACTGCACTGGCTGTGTGACTCATACTTTCCACATCCCAGTGGATGTTAGTGGAAGGCCGGCCAGGCAGCTTCTAGTCACACATGCTTCTTAGAAAGACGGCTTGCCTCGGTGTGTTAGTCTAACCCCGACTGCAGACCCTTTTCCCAGTGGCCCTTATTTACACACACTGTCAATGTGCACATTTACAAGCGGCTCATAGTTTTACCCAAAGAGCTCTGGGATCTCTAAAAGAGAAGAGACACAAACAAGGGAGCCTTCTGGAAGTTTTTTCGCCCCCCCCACCACCTTCTCCAATGGCTACTAGTCCCATATCCTGTTAGGAGTGTTTGGTTTGAGAAGGTGCAGTAAAAAAACTCCAGAACTTGCGCTCTATAAATGGCGCTTTGTGCCCTAAGGTACTGCTACCCTGTCTACTGATCCCTGCTGTGTAAATAGTTTGCTAGACAGACGCCACCAACAGACAGCAACAAGCCGTATCTCATGAGTTACTTTAGTATGTGACAGACAATGAGTTCATTTTGCCTTCAGGGGTTGTGACGGACACTTGTACTTTCCACTGAGACAAGATCATGTGTCGTCATTTTTATTGGGTGAAATACTTTCTGATGAGACAGGAAATAACTCCCATTGTAGATCTTTTTTTTTTTTAAATTCGGGCTGCGTGTTTACACAACATGTCACCAGACTCTAGCAGAGCAGTGTATTTAAAATCATCTGAATTACAAAATCCCCAGCAGCACTCGCATTAGATCAGGTTATATTTTAACAACACGACGATACACATGGGTCATTTTTAAGGTGTCACTGGTTTATTTTAGTTATGAAGTTTTATTTTTTATTTCTAAGATAGAAAAATAGGCTGTTTCAAAATAAGAAAAAACATGACCTGATATTTTAGACATACCGGTATTTCCCCACCCTAGCGAGCATAACCACATGGTAGAACATGGTGAACATAGCTGTGTGTTCCTGATTTGCCTCAGCCTTGTTTGTTGCGTTATGTTGGCCCAGAGTCAGAAGTGTCAGACTGAGAGAACAGCCTTCCTCTGTCTGTATCGCTGGCAGGGCTGACACAGTGGCTGCGGCACAGACGGCAGACAGCTGCATCTCTCTGGCTTCCTCTATTTGCTATTTGGATACCAGTGACTTCATTACCGCAGACCAGTGCAGCTGCACTCTCTGGCTGTCTCCTGGGCTGTCTGCTCGGTCTGTCTGTCTGCTTGTCAGTCATTCTCGTGGGCTGTATCTAATTGGATTTTGGCAGGCATGCTAATCGATCCTTCCTCTACCTCTCTTGACGTCCGTCTTCAATCTGCTATCTCCCCTTCGGTTCATGTCCTCAACCCTCTTGACTTATGGCCTCCATTCTGCTCTTCACTCTACCGCCCTTCGCTCGCCATCATCCCTTTCTTCTAACTGAGACAGTTTTGCTGTTGCTCACGTGTGTGTGTGTGTGTAAACAGTCGATACCCCCTAGGCCCCAATCAGCGGACAGTAACAAAATAAGCAGCCAAATGACCCGATAAGTCGATCGTTACATAAGCAATAAGAGCACTTGTGTGCGTCTGCAAGGCGGATGAGAGGAAAGCCAGTGGCTATTGATCGGGTCTCCGAGCTTGATGGATGTGGCGAATTGTTGGGTGACACGGACACTGAATGGAGAAGGCGATAGATCAAAACGGAGGCGGGAAGGAAACAGAAGAAGAGTGAAATGAGGAGACTCGGTTACAGGGATCGCAGCTGCCGTTGCACAAGTTCCTGTCTGTGTTCACTCATCAGTCTACCAAGTTAACCTCACCTTCTGCTGTCATCTGCTTTAATTTTTGTAACTCAGACTGCCAGACCGAAGTAGCGTCATCCAGACACAAAATTGGGTCTGTGGTCAGGAAACATACCACCCCTGGGGGGGGGCCTCTTGAGGTAAGGCCGGAGAAGAGAAGTAAAGAGTATAAAACGAAGAAAATATGAGGGTGAGGACACGACAGGACAACTGCTTTACACTTTGGTGGTCAAGTTGAGTTCCCAGCCACTAGGTTGTTGCAGAGGGGGCTTGGGGCCCCAGCTCTTCTTTCCCCCGGAGTTGAAAATTAACCTCCCCAAGACCTGAGCTGAACCACAAATCTAGCCTGGAACAGCCCTCTTGGTTGGCCAATCACATGCCAGCTAGCTCGCATTTCCCCCCAGCTTACACTCTCTCCTTTGCCCCCCCACCCCAAGACACCCATACACATATTTCTATGTCTGTTTCTATGTCTATGCATTTTCCAAAGAACAATTATCCACTTATACTGAATACACAGAAGCTTCTTTGAACGCTGGCCCAGAGTAACCTACAGTCTATCGCGCCTGTATGTAGTTTGGTGTGGGACTGTCCGTGTTCCCTCTGCACAACAGGCCCTGCCTTGGCCAGTGTTTGCTGCCTGTTGTAAAGGGCTAAATGGGGCCCCGCAAGGTAGGGGCTGAGCCAAGGGGCCTCTGGTATGTCACCATCAGGTCAGTGCCAGTATCACAGCTCCATAACGACATTACAGCTCAATGGAGGAACGCCAAAGTCATTACTTCTGAGTCCCTTTCTTAAATGGATAAGAATCTTCTCACGTTTTTAGTTTCAGAAGCAACATATGAAAAAGTCACAGGCTTCAGACGCAGTTCACTTCACCGCTCAGATTTGTTGTACAGCAGCTCAAAGCAGCTTATCTTGTGCGCTACAACCCCACATTTAAAAAATGTACCATTGGTGCTTGGTGGCAATTTCCCACCCCAGCTGCAGCTTGTTATTTTTGACTATCTCCTTGGCTTGGACTCTTTTTCCCACCTCACCACCAGAAGAAGATAATGTGCTGCTGTGGGACTGATGTGTGCTTGCCACAGCAGCAGGCAGCTGAGATAGGTCTCTGCCACGTCTGCCAACAGTCTCATAGACTAAACAAACGGGCTAAGCCCCTCCCAGCCAAATGTCCTGCAGGGTTTAAAAGAGTCTTGGACTGACAACCTGTTTGCATGTTCACTGTGCTCTGGCTGTGCCCCCTCAGGGCGTCAGACCAGTTTGTTACTTCTAAGGAAAATGAGAATGAGAACAAGTGAAAGAGAGGGGAATATAATGGGCTACGAGTTCAAACAAGACTGTAAGAAGAGAAAGTGGCTTGGATCGTAACAAGTCTGACTAGCTTGCCTGGGTTGTTTTGCATGAGACCGGAATAATGAGGAGTCTTGGTATTAATTAATCGATGTGTTGATGAGGAGATTAACTGTCCACTGTCTGGTCTCCCTGGGAGACTCCGATGAGCAGGTTGTGTGTATGTTGGGGGCAGGGAGTCGGACGCGAGGGAGGTATACTGTAAAAGAGCTGTGGGAGACTGCCAGCCTGCGCGTTGTGTGCAAGCAGAGAGAGCGCGTTTGCATTTGAAAGGCCTCTTCTGTGCCGCCTTCCCGGTGGGAACGGTGATTAATGAAGATATAAATGGAAGGACCCAGAGACGCCGTTTTCCATAGGAGCACTATACACAGAGCAGCAACACATACACAACATATAGGCACTTAAACTCCCTCTCTCATATTTTGTCCCGCAGCCACAATCTCCCAGACAGGGAGATAAACACGGGATATCAAAGGCGTGTCATGCGTCCCGCTGGGCTGCCACCGGCACATCCACAACACATTAAGCCCAGCCACCATACTGATCAATTATGCATGTTGCAAACATGGAGAAATCGGGGGGGGAAAATAGTCAGCTTGTACGATTAAAGGAATCCCCTTCTCTCCACTTTGCCTGTAATGCGTGTTGGTAATGGTTTGTCATTTACACATGGAAGTGATTCTGCTGCCGTTGTCTCTTTTTAAAGGTGTTTTTTTTAAACAAACTGCCCCCACGTATTTAATTGAACACAACAATGGCAGCCAAGTTAAGTGCTGCTGTGGCCCGTGCTCCTTTTTGACCTTCAGCCTACGCGCCAGATTAAACCCAAAAAAGCGCAGCAGACCACTGTGAGACGCAAACTCGCCAAGCTTGGGTAGGGGATTAATTGTCCTGTACGTCCTTTATTTTGCAGCCTCACCTTTGCTCAACAACATCAAACACCCTGCAACTGTTTCTTTCCCTCTTCCACCGCTCGCAGCCTTTATACCCTGTAAATCCTTATCTCACCAGGGGCCTGACGGATGTTGCTCAGGGCACGGCTGTAAAGTTAGCAACTGGGAAGCAGACTGCATTGGTGAAGGTGATACGAGTGACATTTTGTGGTTTTGCCCAGGCTCCCATCTCTTTCTGCCAAATGCTGATGTGTTTATCTCACCGCTATTCCCACCTGCAGTGAAGCCGCTCATGGGAATCATCTATCTCCCTGATATTTCTTACAGCAGACACACACGCAAACATACAGTCTTCTTTGCCTCATATCCCTCAGGGGTCCATACCAGCTCATCAAGATCCTGTAAATAGAAGACTGTGTTCCCTCTGGGTCTCCCACAGTCTCGCTGCACATCTTTTACAGCATAAAGTAGTAGACAATCCTTGAGGTCGTTGACCTTACAGATGCAATTAATTACCTAAATAGCTTAAAATGTATGTTGCGTGTCTTTATTTGAGTATACTTCAGCTATAGAAAGCTAATTAATGGTTGCATGTGTTGAGGCTCCTTAACTGCACTTCAACATGCAAGTTAATAGTCAAGTCCTCCTTAACTGTCCCCAAGCAACCGAGTGTGTGCGCGACTCTTGTCGAGCATGTGGCACTGATTCTCTGCCTGTCCAGTTCTTTTTTTTTTGGTGTGTTTTAGCCCCGCTGTTGCTTGTATTAAGACAGCCTTGACTCGGCCCGCATGGAGCTTTATTGCCCTTGACTTTATCCTTTGAAGAGTGAAGTATCGCCTTGTGGTTTACAGTCTGGCTACATTTTAACCAGTTCCTATGACAAGTGCACTTTGTTATGCCAGACATTTTCTTTGTCATCACTATCAAAATTCACCGGCTGAGACACATCCTGATACCAGATGAGGCCATATGTACAGTAGTTCTTCAGAAGACTGACTCATGTTGAGGGAATCTAGCCTGCAGCCAAATGATGGTAAATTTTGGCATGGTTGCCTTTTTCTGTCAGCTGCTTTGGCAGATAACCAATCAGCCTTATTTTCTATTCTGTGTAGCAGTGTGCCTCCGTAAAGGATTTTTTAAAGTTTTAAATCCAAAACTTTTTGTCCTTGTTTCATTAGAGGTGAATGACAGAAAGCCAACCTTGACATGAGCTTTGAACGTGTATTTATGATGATTATTAGAGAGAGATGACACACGCAAACACACTCAGTAGCACGGGGTACTGCGCAGATGACACAGTCCTCAATCCGTGATTAAAGGAAGTCAAAGGGGTCAAACAGCCAGAAACACAGCCAGACACGCAAAACACAACCACCATCCGCCACTTCCTCCCGTCACCACGCCAACCCCATCCTGCAGCGTGAGTCACGGTGCTCCATCAGCGCTGCAGTCTGCTCTCTACTCATCAGCGTCACTGTGGAGCCAGGACGAAGATTTATCACGGTCCCAGTCTCTCACACGGTCTGTTTGATCTACGCCCAGGTGTGTTCACTTAGAGCTCTGACTCAACTGTAATGACATTTACCAAACCCAGCCACGCTTTACTAGTGCTGCTGTCAAGCCTGCCTCAGACAGTGACTGTTTTAACGAAGGAGGGGCTGGTTGAGCAAGTGTGTGCACTGTGGGATCACCTAACCATAGGTTTTGGGTTTTTTGGTGCATTAATATCAGTACAGGCAGGGTGGAAAGCACAGCCGCCTCCAACCAAATGCTGGCAGATTTCTGTGCGTGGGTTTTGAAGTTTGTCTTTTAATAATTCAAAGTTTTTGCCAGATTAAAAGTAAATCGATGTAGTAAATGTTCCACGAGCCATTGTGAAAGCAGAGAGAGAATTGTCTTCAGAGACTTGTTTTTGAAAACCAGAGCTTGTGACAGAGAACAAGAGAAACGAGGGAGAGTCATGGTAGCTGATGGATTTGCATTACATGAGCTGTGTGTTTGTGTGTGTTTGTGTGTGTGTGTGTGGGGGGGGGGGCAGGCGAGCCTGAGGGGCCTGGACAGCAAAGCCAAGCTGCCCATGCAGAGACGAGAAGTAGAGGCTTCAAACAAGCTCCTGCATGTAATATGGATGAGACCAGAGCTCCCTGCAGAACAGTCGGAGGACCCTGGGCCTGTTTGGATTTAACCGTCTCTCTTTCCATGTGTCTGTGATAGATTTTACCCCGCGGGCCGTTTTGGCCAGGTGGAGCTTTCTCTTTGTAGTGCTGTGGCTGTATCATAGGTCGGCCCCCTTGAGCCCTCTTCCTCCATCTTTCTCCATTCTCTTTCCCACCTCTGGCCTCGTTGCAGACAGCGACGACCAACCAAGCATTGACATTTACTGCAGTATTCCACATTACAGCAGAGCTCCCCTCCTGTGCTGAGGAATAAGTAAACAAACCACCGATCGATAAATGACCGCATACTAAGGCCAGTAAAGAAGGGTCTTCGTCAGGGGCAACATTCAACTCATGCATTAAAACATTTAACTCACTTATGTAACTGTGAAGCCCCTTTTTTTCTTTAGACCTGTGTGCTGATGTAGTTATTATTTCCACCTTAGCTAAGAGACCTTTAAAATTGGCAGTCAGGACGAATTATGATGAGGTTGCTGCGTCACATAAAGTACATTTAGCTACTGAGTGGCTGTATTTCGAGGCATTTTACTGAAACTCTGATTTCATTGCAAAGACAGAGGGTTGGGCAGTGTCTCCATTTTGTGTTTTCTCTCAGTGGTGATAGCAGTGCATTGCTGGCTTGCTGACAGCCTCTCTCAGCTTTCAGTCTGCTTAGCAACGCTCGTCCTCTCTGCAGCTCTCTCACTCCCCTCTGTCTCCAAGCGCTCTGAGTTGTTTCATTCGTTTGAATAGTGAGCCGAGTTCCCTTATATAGAAAACCAGCTCAGTTGTGTTTGTGTGTGTGTGTGTGTTGCTCTTCCAAATTGCAGATTTGAACCAGTAACCCACCTCCAAACAGCGTCCCAAAGGCAGCAAGCTTCTCTTGAGACTTTCCCTTTCGTTTTTAGGGATGTTGAAATACACACACATACACACACACACACACACACACTGGCCCAGATGAAGCTCAGATGATGAGTACAGTCATCTACAGACAAGACAAGAGCCCACTGGCCTCATTCTCCGTCGATGTGTCCTCCTGGGACACCGAAGTGTGTCTGTGTGCGTATTCGTGCACTGTTTGCTTGCGGTAAACTACGTCATCCTCCTACACTGCTGTTTGATGGAGCCGTTGTTTGATGGGACGTCTGTTTACTGTGTGTGTGTGTGTGTCTCCTGGCCTGGTTGACTCACATAGGTGAGCCCCGACAGCTTTGGTAATTAACGCTCTGGGGGGCACTGGGGAAGGAAAGTGGAGCACACACACGCTGAGCTGCTGCGCTGTAGACGGTAAGCTGCACGTGTGTATGCAGCTAGTCTGCTCTCTTGCACACGGATGATTTCTAAATGCCCTTCACTGACTCGTGCATACGTGTGCATCCACAGTAGATTAACGTCACTGGTCACATTTTGATACCGGCCTGTAATGCTTCATGTCAAACCTAACAGCTGAAATTGGGTGGAAGAGTGAATGTGGGGTAGATAGATGGATTTGAAGTCGTCATGCCTTCATAAAATTGCTTTGATAGTGAAATCACCTGGTAAGAAAAAGAATACACTTTTCGTTATCTTTCTTTGCTTTGAAGGGCAAACAGGAAATTTCAGATATAAATCTCTCAACAACACGCTGCGCCTGTCTCTTTATAAGGCTGCATCGTGTTTACTTTCTCATAAAACTGCACGATGATTGCTAAAATTATCTACCTACTTCATCTGCTCATGACTATTAATCATAGTGCTTGAGGTTGATGATTTGAACAGTGACATCATTTCATTACACTCCTTCCCTCTGATGCAGTGTCTGGACTACTTGGTTACATCAAGTTTCATTAAAGATCCCTTCCAGTAATGTGTAAAGACGTACATACAAATCACAATAATGTGTGTCTGATGTGATGTTTTTTTTCTCCCCACAAAATTCCCACACTTGTTTTGGTTGCATACTCTTGTGATGTCACAGATCAGGCTCGTAAGCCCCGCCTCCTTAAAGTCAGATGTTCATTGAGGTCAAAGAAAACTTTCCACTTTCAGCACATGACTGTAAAAACATCCTCCTAGTGTCAAACTCTGCATGGACGTCATTCTGCACAGTGAAGGTCAAACATCGAACTGTAAGAACAAGAACAAAACATACATTTTGGTGCAGTGGCACTTTAAGTATTATATTATTATTAAGTTAATCATATAGTATAAGACAGATTTCCTTCTGAAGTTACCAGAGTGCACTTATTTTGTCTAACTGTCAAAAAAACAAAAACAAATGGTTTTTAAATTATACTTGAATGGGGCGAGAAGCAAATGTTTTGCAGGTAATTCTGCTTGATAAATGAGTTAAATGATTAATGATCAGAGCTGTCATTGATTAATTGACCACCTAATCGTTCAGCTCTAATAGTCTCCATGATAACTATGGCAACTATAGTCAATCATGTAGCCTTAGTGGCATTTTAAAGTGAGGTTAGACGGCTGCGGGAAAACTATTTGGCTCGGACAACAAATGTGGATTGAGATAAAACAATTAGCCGGTTAATTGATCGACAGAAAATGAGTCTACAGTGATTCTGATTAACTTTTGGGTTAATTTATTAAGAAAAATTATGTCTTTCATAGTCTTATATAATAATAACTTGAACATTTTGGACTGTTGGTTAGACAAAATGGCGCCAGGAAAGTGTGATGGAATTTTTTTCTTCCATTTTCTGACATTTCATAGACCAAACAATTAATCAATTTAACCATAAAATAAGTGGCAGATTCATTGATAATAAAAATAGTCCTAGTATTTTTATTTCACTACTATAATATATACTATGTCATAGTATGTGTGTGTGTGTGTGAGTAATGTGGGGGCGGGGGTTACCTACTGTATTCCAGTCAGACAATTTGTCCATTCATGAGGTAACATTATTACAACCGTCCTCATGTACTGCTGTGAATATAGACTGGAAGCCGCCGCCTGGGATTTGACTGTGAAACATGAGAAACTGAGGAGGGAGGAGGAGGGAGTGAGTGAGTGAGGAGGGAGGGCGGAG